CCAAAAGAAAGAAACGAATTTGTATGAATTTGTTGGATATTGCAATGGATTGAATCATTTATTTGACTAGGAGACGAATTTGTATATAGGTATAACCTCTCAACCCAATGAAATCAACGAGTTCGTCGTTGTAGAGTGATTGCAAGAAGCTCGGAAGCTGGTTTTGGTATCATGAAAGATTTAGGGAAGGAGAATTGATGATATAGCTTGATGTACTATTGCTCTTTTTCTTTAGCTCGACCGATCTCAACGAAACTGCCTTGCAAAGGAAGTAGTTTGTGAGGTCGGAAGTAATAAGCAGTTCTGCAATTGAGGCATAAGTTAACGGCTTTATAATTGGGGCCTTTATCTCCTCTTCCAGCTCCAGCCCTATTGGAGAAAAGAAGATCCATTTGCTTGGAACAACGAGGACAATTGGCTTTACTCTGATCTTACGAGTGCTGCTGTTGGAAAATTGATCGGAAGAACAACCAACAGCACCACCACCATCTGATTTGTAATGGTGTTGTTGGGGAAATTATAGTAGCAGTAGTTTAGGATGATGATTAAGAATAAAATGAGCACTAGTACTTGCAGTGGTGCAGATTGGGATTGGGTGTGATTTGTGGTTTGAAACTGGAAATTGTTATTAGTGATAGACCGAATAGTTTTAGTAGTAGTGGTAGGGGTGGGCATGGTCCGGTACGGTCCTAGAAACCAGTGGAACCAGGACCATCCCACTTTCATATACTCGGTTCGGTATCGGTCCTTAGGACCGAGTATACATGGTTATAACCGGACCATCCTGTACCAAGTCTAATCGGTACGGTTTCGGTATGGTTTCGGTCATGGGCTTTTTAACAGGCCTTGGCCCAATTGAACTGCGAAGCCCAATTAATTCCAAAAAGTAGAGACAAACCAGCAGATGATGATTGATGATTAATTAATTAAAGATAACTACATCTGTCATCTGTTTGTCGTCGTCGTCGTCCTCCTCAGAAGTTAGAACAAAAATAAAGATTATTATGTAAGATTATGTATAATTGGATTGAATTGAATTGGTTTGAATCACAACAATAATAATAACAATTAGCTTCGAATTTGTTCGGCTCTAATGAGCGCTTCCAACCATATCTTCACAAACCAACAGAATACAATCAATATCTTCACGTTACTTCTTCGATCTCAGCAACAATGGCATCGATTTCAGCCTCCTCCAGTTGACGCAACCCAGCAACCTCTATGTTCTTTGAAATCAAGTTTCAATGAGAAGAGAAGATGGAACTTTGAAATATTTCTTGCAACACAACAAGAATTATTCGAATCATACTTTGAAATCGAGTTTGAATTAGTGGTATTTACCTTTGATAGACTTGAAATCGAATTGATAGACTTGAAAAAATAGGCTGAGAAGAAGAATCGAAATCGAATTTTGTTCGGTCAGTAATCAATATGTTGAGAGTTGAGAAGATAGGTTGAGAAGAAGAATAAAATGGAGGCGGGCAGTATGTTAGAATTGAGAAGATATTTGCAACAATAAAAATGTAAACACTAAATCTTTTAGATAACCTAAGTATGATCGGTATGGTACAGTACACTCGGTCCTGTGAAAATGGTAGCGGGACCGTACCAACTTCTGTAATGGTCGGTCCGGTTTCTGTCCGGTCCTCTTCGGTATCTGGTCAACTCGATATTGACCGGTATTGGTCCGGTATTTTCAGTCCGGTTTTCGGTTTTTTTGCCCACCCCTAGGTAGTGGTAGTGGGGAAGGGGAAAGGGGATTTCAAGAAGTTGTAATGGCTAAATTATATTGAAGCTTTAAGATGATAGAGAAGTTTTAATGGTTGAAGAAGCATTATGGCTTTATGGGTTTCCTACAGATAACTATGTACTAATGGAGAAAAAAAAAACATCAAGAAAATGGATAGGTAAATGTTCTTACTTTTTTTTATCTACTTACAACAACTATATATTCATTTGAAAACTAAGATGTGTGTGAGTGATTGAATCATTGGATGTGTGATGTGATGAAACTCAAACGAAATTCGTCACTAAAGACTAGATCTTAAATGAAATAGAAGAAAAATAAAATTTGTTAATTGGAATATATTTCTCATTCAATCTATTTTAAAAAGTGCTTAGCTTGATGATCAGGATGTAATTCTTTACTCATTTTAATAAAATGTTACATATATGCAAATTTTAGTCAAAATATTGTACACATACACACACAAGTCGATGTGCAGACCCAACTTTTGATTTATAATGCAAAATGCAGGTCATTGCATTGTACATTACTAGAACTATGAATATAATATTGACATCTGCGCATTAAGAGGAAATGGTCCAATATATTTACAATCATGAGGTATGGCATAGTTCATAGATTTTTACATCTTAGGTACATGAACCAATGTTCTTTTTTCATGTTATAGCTTACGAGCATTTCCAAAAGCGCTAAATTGTAAGCATGTCTACAGCTTTACAAAACTCTGCTTTGTAATTCTACCATATGTCTGCATTTCGAAGCAATATGTCTATGAGGAATTCACAGGTTTGATTCCTATCTCTCGTCTATATATTGAGTCGTATTACAATGTAGTGCTCGCTAAATGTTGCTTGGTTTGGATTATTTTCGAAATGTTACAATTTAAGTTGTGCATATAGTGTTGTTGGATGGATCTATAAGCTATAAATAGTAAGAGCTCTCAATAAAGAGGTTGATGGTTCGAATCCATCTAGATCCAATTTGAGTTATGATCAACTTAAAAAAGGATTTTATATTTAACACAAGCATACAAATCTAACTGTTTCACATGTTAAGCAATTTTTTATAAGGTGCTTAGCATGTTAAACAACTTTTGATTGGTTGTTTAACATGTTAAACAACTTTTAGAGTATTGCTTAACATGTTATGCAACGTCTTCAGAGTGTTGTTTTACATGTTAAGCAACTTATAGAGAGTTGCTAACATGTTATGCAACATTGCTTAACATGTAATGCAACTTTTAGAGTGTTATTCAATTTGTTAAGCAACTTTTAAAGAGTTGTTGCACATGTTAAGCAACTTTTAAAGAGTTGTTTCACATGTTAAGCAACTGTTGCTTAACACGTTATGCAATGTTTAGAGTGTTGCTTAACAACGTCTTCAGAGTGTTGTTTTACATGTTAAGCAATAATTTAATTGTTGTTTTATATATTAAGCAACTAAAGGTATGATTTTTAATTCTTTTCATATTTTACGTGTTAAGCAACTTTTAGAATGTTGCGTAACATGTTAAGCAACAATAAATTTATTGCATAAGATGTTAAGCAACGTCTTCAGAGTGTTATTTTACATGTTAAGCAATTCAAAAAAGAACTTGATGTTCTACACATTCATACAAGTTTAATTGCTTAACATGTTAAACAATTATTTTATGAGCTACTTAACATGTTAAATAACTCAAAAAAGAAGATGGTATTCTACACAAGCATAGAAAATTAAATGTGTGACATTTACGAGCTGTTTTATGCAACTGTTTTATGAGTTGCTTAACATGTTAAGCAATTACGTATTTATTCTTACCTTTTGTATAAAAAAACAAATTTAACCTTCAAATGGAGGAAATTTCTTTCGGATAAGAAATATTACTGAGTTCACAATAAAATGGTGTTGAAATTTAATTCATTGAGAGAAACTAGACAAAAGTTTCTTCTTCTTCTTTTTCTTCACTTTGTTGTGTGAAATTCAATTGAATTCATAGAAAGTTTTAATTGAATTCAATAGCGAATTTGAACCAAGTTTCTTCTTCTTCATCACTTTATTGTTGTTCTTCCATTTGATTTATTGATTGAGTAAGATCAATTATGCTTATTAGAAGATTCATAACTTTATTTTGATTTTTCTTTCATTAGATCTAGGGTTTTATTATTTATCAAATCTTGAAGAATGAGAAGAAAAAGAAATAAAAAAAATAAGGAGAGAAAGGAATTGGTTAGAAGAGAGAGATTAAAAAGAATGTTTTTCAAATCTTGAAGAATGATAAGAACATGAATAAAAAAAAGGAGAGAAAGGAATTGGTCGGAAGAGAGAGATTAAAAAGAATGGAAAGGCGGAAAAGAAATTGGGATTAGTTCGGACTTGAAAGGAAGAGAAAGAATGAATTAGGGGTATCTTTGTCATTGGGCCAAATTGTCCTAAAACCTAACTAAAGGTTTCAGTTGTCCTTGGGCCAAATGAAACTACTAATTTTGTCCTTGGGCCCAAAAGAAGGATTTTTTGGGCAGTAAAACCACGTGAAAACAAACTTTTATTGGGCTTAAGTTGTTCCTTAGATCAAGACCTTCAGTTAGACTTCTTACGAGCCCAAATCAGAGTTTTAGATTATTTTATAGAGCCATTTTAAGATTGGACTTTAAGTAACGGGCTTTAATGAACTTCAATAGATCCTTTGACCTGTGGGCTTCAATATAACTTGGATTCAGATGAGATTTTGACCACATATTGAACATAAGGTCAAGTCATCAAGACAAGTCCAATGAGCAAATAACAATTTCTCTTCTTTTTGCAAATAATACTTCCTTAGCAGCTTTTAGCGGGCTTTAGCACAATATTCATCTTTTGGCTCATAAAACTTATACAAATTATAAGAAACCACTAATCAATAGTTATTACACAATAATATAAGCTAAGTGTTATGCAAACAAGGTTTTATTCGGTGGGTAAAAGTACACTTTTGGGGACTTATCAATGGGCCTGTATGGTTTTATGATTATTAAGCTAGACACATGTCAAAAATTTTAAATTAGGAGATGAAGTGACACATTTGGTCCCATTTCACTGTAGACTTTGCCTTCTCCCTTTAAAGATAGTTTAGATATAAAGACAACTGGTATCCTCAATTTTAGAAATTTGCAATTATGTCGTGTTCTACCAATTTTAAGAATGAATGTAGTATGTGTGGTTTTTTTGTATGTGGGCATGTGGTCCCAATCATATAGTGCCACGTGTCATTTAAGTATTATTTAATTAACAAAATATAACCTATGTATAGGTGTAGTGGGGTGTAGTGAACTCTAGTGGGTTTGAATTAGTTACAAACTAGATACATGGCGTGTTGTTATTGGGACAACATGCCCACATACTACATTTTTTTCATCTTTTAGTACGTAAAGGTTGATATAGTGTGTAATGGCTAATCCGAGCCATCCATTGTGGATAAGGGTATTTGTTTACAAGTTAAGTCAGGTTTCTCTATTTATTTTTTTATTTTTTTTTATTTCTTTGATCAAACATATACCTGGAAAAATTGGGGCCGCTACTGTACACTCTAACATTCACATGAATTGAAGGGGCCCACTAATGTATTCCCTCTTTCCTTTCTCTTCCTTCCATATTCTCTTCTTTCTCTGTTATTATGTGATAAACAAAATTTGTTCTTTGGGATATGTTTATCTCGGTTATTGATCGAGAGCAAGATTTGACGATGATCCAAATGACATAGACAAAATACTTAATAGTAGAAGTCTAGAAGATAATAAAACATGCAAACAAAAGAATTGATTTTGGGGATGAATCAATTACTTCCTCTAAGGTTTCTTTCTTATTTCTCAAAATCCTAGAAAATGCAAGTAAAGAGGCGATGTTTGTTCCTCTTGGGATACAAGACCTTTTATAGAGTGGTTTTACTTGTCATACTCAACTTAGGAGTCCTACTATGAGTTGTACATGGATTTCCTACTCTATTACATGTCTTACTATTGTTAGGATTACTCATAAGAGGGGTACATGGGTTTCCTACTTGGAAAAATACACAAAATATAAGTTTTAAGGTGTTTTAGGGGTTTGGGCTGGCTATGGGCCCAACTAGGACGTGGCCCCATTAAGGAAAGGCCCATCTGGCAAGGTAGAATCTGTGAGACAAGGCCGTTGTCTCACTGTCAAACCTACACAAGGCAGAATTTATGAGACAAGGCCGCTGTCTCACTGTCAGACCTATACAAGGTTGCCCTATGGGACAAGGCCGTTGTCTTACTGCCAAATCTGTGGACAAAGCCGTTGTCTCACTGTCTTCTTGCACTTCAACACCCTCGAATACTTCGTCTTTTATGTAGAAGATCCTCCTGTATCAGACGAAGTTCTTATTAATTGTTTTATTTCTTTATTATTGGGTGAGATATCGAATTATGCAAAATTAGTAGCAACTCATACTTTGTTAATTAATGGTAGTATCTCCAATAATGGAATCATTATTCTAGTGATCTTTTGACAATATAATTAAAACAATTCGTTTTATAATGATTATCGTGTCAATCTTCATTTCAAAATCTATTGAATAAATTCGCATTGAACTCAAATCAACAGTACAACAAAACAAAATGATATAGAGATAAAATTCAAGCAGGAATCTCACTAAACCATGAAGAAATCGACACACGAATGAAGAAGAAACCAAGTTAGCATGAAGAAAATGACTAGAAAACTAGGGTTTTTCTGCACTTTGGGTAAAGATTCATTTGTTTTTCTTTGATTTGAAACTATTCATGGTTTTGGTTCTCTTGCCTCTTCTTTATCTCCACCTCTTTCATGCTTTACAGAAATTACTCTTGTAGTCTTGCATAGTTGCATCTTCTTTCCTCCCAATTACTTATCATCTCCACCCACTTAATTATATCTCTTCACTTCATCACCAAGGATGTTACCTTCACTCATTCTTGCAACAGTGATTCAATTAAAATCTGTAATGAATTTTGAAATGCCCAGTTTATTAACAATACCCAAAATTTGGATTTCGCCATTATTACTTCTAGATTTCACAAATCTCTTCACAACCCAATTCATAGAAACTGATTGTAAGATCATTTCACATTATCTATTACCAAGATTAATCGAAGAACTCAATGAGGGAAAAGTCATTGTTGTTTTTTGTCGCAAGGTCATAAAATCAAATGG